ACTATTATGGTTTATGGTTACTGGAGCTCAAAATACTCATTGAAAATTACAAAATAATGCTTAAGTTAAACCAATTTCAAACTAATAGTTTATAGCTAAAGTAGATTTCTCAGGCACAGCTCACAGGCATACCATGTACTCTTCACTTGGCTGTAGTGATGTAATGTCCATTGTTGAGTCACAAAGACAAATGCACTCACCTTAAGAACTAGTTGTCATCAACAAATTTTTACAAAATCCTTTAACAAATAGTCACAGCATTCTTAGCAAAAGTATTAATATTAAGCATCAAAATCAACATGTCTGATGTCTCTACAGGTAAGCCTACCTAACTACTAGAAGAATATGCAAGGGCCTGCACATTTTTCTTTTAACAATCCAAGAAAATAGGTAATGTTTACATTTTTTTTTCTCCATGTTCGTCATTTTCGTTCTTCTCCACTTCTTTTATGCATATGCATCCATAAGCAAGTAGAAGGACAATTAACACATTATTCATAATGGAGGCATGAACTGCTAGTGTCAGAAAAGATAGGCAAGCAGGAAGACAAATTTTTGGGGAAGTTGCCATAGCAGCATTAATTTTTCTCTTGAAGATAAGAATAGCAAAGATGTAACTTCACTTACTTGGAAAACCTCCACTTTAAATGGAAAACTCTCCAGTTCTTTTCGAGCAAAGGAGTTCATTTTGCTCTGCAGAATCAGTATCAGCCCACTTAAGCTTTCCTTAAGAATCTGGCAATGAAGAGCTCGCACAGTTGCTTTTCTGATATCATCTGTTCCCATGAAGACAACCAAGATCTGCAAACAACTTAAATATTATGTTACATAACTGCGAAAGGAGCTTAAAACAAGATACATATGGTTGAAGAAAAGCTATCTACAATTACTTCTAAATTACAGCAGGAATGAAGAGTGAACACATGCTAAATACACAAATGTAGACATCCAGATGTTTAACCCGTAAAAGATGAAGCAATAGAAGCTATCTCTTAAATGTCTCCATTGCAATTTACTTCCATCTGTAATGATTATAAAATTGGAATCCTTCATAAATAGAGGCTGTGAAGCCATACACCTCTTCTTACATTTCTCCAGATTTTCACTTACCTGCTTTTGATAATACCAGGTTTCTACATTTCTTCCTTAGCTAAGCATGTACACAATCAGAGCCATGTATTTGTTACTTACAAATTCTAGTTCGGAGTGTTTTCTAAGGAACAATAAAACTTCACAGTTTTGCAATCTTGAATTGCAGGGAAATACCAAAATGGGTAAAAGACACAAAAAAAGGAAGATATTCACAGTCGTAGTCCATGTGGCTTATTCTGGTGCTGCAACTTGATCCTGTTGGCCTTCAGAACTGTTTTGCCACTCTAGGCTCACTTATGTGCTTCATTCACCAAAACCTTCCTAAGATCTCATTTCACACTATGCTAGGCATAATTGATCCACAACTTTTGAAGCAAAATAATTGGTTAATCTATAATCATTTGAATTGATCTACTACTATTGAAAGAAAATAATCAGTTGTTCTGAAATCATTTGACCAGTCTAAGAAAGTACTTTCACAGGATAAAAAGGCATAATGACTAGAATGTGCAACTAGACTAAGAGATGGTATGTGTTTTCTTACTCCAACAGACATTTTAAAGTAGGGACGATGACTTATAACAAGGCTGAATGCTGTCCAAAACTTCATTAACTTCAAGAGTTTCATTGATAGTATTAAACACGAATTGCAGTATTGCACTAATAATCTATATGACTATAGAACAGCTTGGGTGAGATAAAAACAAGAATAGCACAAACACAGAATAACATAGCTGCTTGACACTGTCAAATATAGAATAATAAAGCCAGAAAACAGTGCCTCTCAACGTAATGCAGTTAAACTTTCAATGGTTTCATCCACAAAACCAATTTCACCAAAGCAAAATGCAAAAAGACTTATGTATGGGCCATGTTCTAGATTCAGATTTTTTCCCCTTGTTAGCAATAGAAAGTACAATAGAGTCCCCACATATGGTCAATATGCAATTTCTTGTTTTTGTTGAGTTTTTCAATTTTCAGAAACCAAACAAATTAGAACATATATAGCTTCACTGATTCACATAAATGTTCTTCAAATTCTGTTCTCCTGTTAGGACAGGCATTGGCACATGCACTTCCAGTTAAACCTAAAACAAAATAGATAACCAAGCAGAGGATTAAAAAGAAAAACAGCGGAAATTACCAATTCCTTTTGGCTGAGAATTTCAATTTTTTTTTTCCCTTTGTGAAGGGAAAACATCAAGGAAAGTAACACAATCTATTTGGCTATTTGCTCATTAATGTTTATACTTCTGGCCAGTATATATACACAAATACAGTAGAAATACATTTAAAGTTCACTTGATTTGGAATTTGGCATACAGGTAAGTAAAATATACTCCTAATATAATCAAGAAAACATACACACAGTTAAGAACTATAACATAACAAAAGCAAACTAAAAGGCAAATCTGTTGTTCCGAACTGTTAACAGGCTGCCAAAAAGGGTAAAAAAAAGGACAGCTAAAAAAGACAACACTTCTATTGCAAGCAATTGTATATATAAAAAAGGCATCTTGTTTATATGTAATTAGGTGTATATATATGTCAGTATGTATATCAATAAAGCTTTTTTTACCAAAAATACAAAAGCAAAAGAGTCTTTTCCTAACATTAATTTCCTCTATTTTCTCACCATCCACACAATTTTATTGCCAGGAAACTGAAACGACACTACAACAGCCAACTTCATGCCACATAAGGCACATATATACATATACATATATACATAAATGCATACATGCTTACATACACATACATATATAGTATACACTCATATAAACATATATTGTATGCATACCCGAGTACATACATACATACATACACTCGTATACACGTATATACCTACCAACATATATACATATGCGTATGTACATCTAATCATACATAAAGACATATATGTACATAAATATTTTCATAAAACAAACTCTTATTTATATATCTGAAAAAGAAAAACTTTTTTCTTCCAAAAAAGAAACAAAAAGAACTCTTTCCTTTCTATCAAACAGAACTTGAAAAGAAAAACTATGTCCAAAAACTCCACCATTTTCCAGGGAAACAAACACTTCCAAAAGTCACATAAAGTTTACCTTTTTGGAAGGGTTGGAACGCAGAGAAGCAGAGATACGTAGACGTTCGAGCTCTGGTTTGTCTCCAAAATCGGAACGGAACTCAGCGAGTGAGCGAGTTAACTCCGAGTCAGCCACTTTATAGCCTCGGTCTTTGAGCATTTCCCAAGCAGTCTTGCGTGCCAAGTAAAACTTACGGCTCTCAACACTGCCTTGGTCCACCAACCTTTTCAAGCATGGACGAGCATCCTCAACTTCGCCATCGATACCGCCGTGACCAGAACTCCCGCCACCATTGCCAAAGGTTGTTGCCATTTTTTTTTTGCTTTTTTTGTTGGAGAGTGTGGGGTTGTGGCAATGGAGGTCTGTGCTATTTATAGAACGTAGCTTTACAACACACTTTTGCAGAAAGAATTTTGGAGCGTCGATTTAGTTGGACATAGGTGCATTTGGACGGTCAAGATGACTTTGAAGAAGTACGGATCTTGAGTACATGACACGTGATTTGTCTAAAATTTATAGTGATTTGCAGTAGTTACATTACCTTAAAAATAATGGTGATTTGGGGTAATTACATTATTTTTTTAATAATTTAAAAATTTTATATGAAAATGATTTTAAATTATTGAGGTAATAAGATTATTATCTTGAAGATAATATCATTCTCAACCTAAAGAATGAAAATTTTTATCACTATAAAAAAATAATTTTTAATATTATTTTTTAATTAATTTATATTAATAAAAAATGTTATTAACATTACCTTGAAATATTTACTAATAAAAATTTGCAAAAAATTATTTTTTTAATAACATAAATTAAAAAGATTCTATTACAATGGAATAAATGTTTATTGATTATAAAAATAATGAAATCATTTAATAATTTTTTTAAAAATTATTTTTTATCAAAATTAATTTATATTTTATAGTTTTTTATAAAATAACATTTAATTATTTTATAAATTATTAATTCAATAAGTATTAAATTTTTTTTGGCAAAGTTGCTTTGAATATTTTGTATTCTATGATTTATTTTTTCACATAATATCAAATATTGTAATTTAAAATCACTAATGATTTATAATATTATATCAAATATGATAATTTAATATTATCAATAATCAAATCACTTTGATGATCTTATTACCATAATAATTAAATCACCGTAATAATATTAAAAATGATATCAAATGCTATTAAGTGAAAATTACCATAAATTTTTTAAATATATTTTGGAGATAAACAAAAATATTTTTCTTAATTGTAAAAAAGTGTCATTTGTATTAAAAAAACTATTTTAACATTTTAAAATATATTTTTAAAATAAATTAAATAAAAATATTTTTTAATAATAAAATAATGTTTCGAATTAGTCGGACCAAAAAAGTTATGCTCAAAGCTAGATTTAAATTGAGCCAAGCTCGCAAGGTTGATAGACACGTCTAATTTGAAGTATCATTGAGTATTTATTTAATGATTTTTATAATTAATAATTAATTATAAAGATTTGTATTTGATATTCTATCAATAAATTATCACATCATTATTAATAAATTTAAATTTTAAAATATTTATTATTAAATATTTTAAAATTTTAAATATTTAATTATATTAAAACATATTAATGATATAACAATTTTATGATACACTGATGATGTATAATATCTCTTGCATCAAATATAAAAAAAATTTTCCAATTAAAACAATACATTTCATAATAATTAGATTACAACAGAGTTAATGTGTTTTTTTCAACATGATCTATTAATAAATTATTAAATATTTTATTATTTATCAGGAAAAATGAAAAAAAAAATTATTTGTTACCAGCTATAACTTTCTTTTTCTATTATTGCTTTTTTTTTTAATAAAAAAAATAATTTTATTTAAAAAAAAGTCATAATAATTATTAGGGTTGGGCTCAAGATGATTTTAGGCCCGTTAATCTTATTGGGTCCATTTAGTTATCTAGTTCAAAAAATCTTACCACTGTCGACTGTCGTGTCGGAATTTTGCTCATCACTCGGATTTTCTCAAGCTGTTTCTCACACTCGGATTGAAGGAATGCAAAGGCTGTTTGTTCGGACATGTTTGTTCAAACCAAATAATAACGTAGGATTAGTTAAGATGCTGGTTTTCATGTTGAAATCCGGTGGGCACATCTAAGCAGAATACTAATCACCGGTCAACCCTCCGCTGCGAAACAAGAAAGGATTAGCAATGGCAAGCCTGAAAAAAATCAAGGAACAAGAAAAAGTGGAACGCATTTTAGTGTTCAAAGGGCAAAATGAGCTTGTTCCATCGGTGTATAAGTCAACTAGCAAGAGGAGGCATTCTGATTATTTCAACCAAGCTGACATGTCTAAGTCGACCTAAAATCCAAGGTCAACATTAACGCAACCGCCTTTGCAGCCCACTTGTTGGCACATAAGAGCACTAACTTGTCATCTCCTAAGTGGATCACCAATTACCAGCTCAGCTCGAGCCTACAAGATCAACCCTAACCTATTACGCCGACCTCAGGCCACCTAGGCCCAAGATCTCTCATCGCACAGGTATAAGTAGCCCCATCTAGTTACTTCTACACCAACTGAAAAACTCTTGGCTTAAAGCTTACATTCCACCTTATTCTTCTTCCCACTGTTTGACCGAGCATCACTTAAGTGTCGGAGCATAAACGCCAAGAAAACTTCCAAGCTTTGTTGTTGATTGATCTCTCTTTCTTATCTTTTCAGGGTTTTGCCCTTCGTAGACAGTTTGGCACAGACAAAAAGTTTGATTAGCACTAGTACTCCATAATGTCAAAAGAGTTGTATTTTATCATTCATCTAGAAAGTTTACAAGCAAATGTGGTAACAACAAATACCAAATTATCATCAAATGTTGAAGAACGTAAGGAACAGAAATTTGAACATGTCAAGCTCCATCAGGTCATTCAAAGCAGTTGAACTTACTTACAGCATCATCAAAAGAGACAAACAAGGTTTGATGGAACGCAACCAAAGCAAGGAAGAAACTTGTGCCATATTTAAAATACCTGCAATCTCAGAAACATCCTAATCCAGCAACTCACATGGACCAGAACTCATTCAGTAAGACTCAAGGGTAGGAGGGATCCTGCAAGTATAGTTGTTTCAACCGAGCACAACTTAACAAGACAGAGACAAGCAAGAACTGAAGTAATGCAGAAGCAAGAACCAAAGTACAAGGAGGTTGGCTTTTCGATTTTGGAAAATAATTTTTTAATATTTTACAAATTAGTGAAAAGCCAAGCAAGCACCACATTTACTTCATTATATGCCAGGTAAGCTTCCGCTAATGTTTCTGTTTCAAGAGTCGCACATTCAATAACTTTTAGGACTGAATGAGTACCAGTGAAAGTTTTAGGACAAATTAAAAATAAATTTATAGGAAGGGATAACACTTGATTTGGTCCCTAAACTATTGCACTTTTTTTAATGTGGTATGTAAACCAAAAAAATTTTAATCAAATACCTTAAACTACATTTTCATATATTAGGTTGCCACAACTCTTAACACCATTAAAATAATGCTGATGTAGCATTTAAACGCTAACATGGATGATACTTGGTTTAGATAGGGCTGCCATGTGTCATTTTTAAAAAATAAAAGTTTTTAAAATATAATTTCTAAGAAAAATTTCTTATTATTTTTTTATTCTTTAAAAGTTACACATGACAACTACATCACTGCCATGTGACAATCACGTGTTATCCATGTCAGCATTTAAGTGCCATGTCAGTATTATTCTAAAGGTGTTAAGAGATTGGGAAAACTTAATACACAGAATTAAAGTTTAGGTACTTGATTAAAAATTTGTTTAGTTGAGGTATTATCCCTTACACGAAAGAAAGAAAGAAAGAAAAACAAAATAAAAGGAAAAAGCATTGAGTAATATTTCTGGTAAAAGTTGAAGAACATGAGCAATTGATATTATATTAGAACTATGAATTCTTTGGAAAGTCATAACATTTTGTTAGCTAAGCAAAAGCACCGGTTCATTGTTTTCTACATTTTTATGCAATCTAACTTTACAAAAGCTATAAATCATGGATGTCACCCACAGATTCCCAACAAATCTTGCTCACGCAAGTCCAGTTTACGAAATATGTAGTATTAAATTGCTGACATGAAACATAAGAAAAAAGTCTATGGAGGTTATAGTGAGCGTACCCGCAGAATCCGATCAATTACATCCACCAACCAGCATAACAAGCTGAAGGCTACTTTCCCTTGCCAATGGTCACAGCACAAAGGCTGAAGTGCAATTGATCACTAGATAAAGATACAAACCACTTAAACAGAGTCATAGCAATAGATGGCCATTTAATCCCCACCACCTGCAAGCAAAATTGACAAGAAAAACGAAAATTGCAGCAGTTCATGATTATGATTTGAAGTTTGTGGGTGGGGGAAGCGAGCCGTGTTCTGCTAAGCATTCGGCCTCAGGTGAGAAAAGTATCACAAATGAATGGATTAGAGCTAAAACTTGCAAGTTTTAACAAAGAATATAATTGAACATAAGGGGACAAAAGCACTATGACAACCGCAAAAGAACCTGCAGTAAAAGAGGTAATAAGAAACTTAATTCAAGCATCCTTTGAAGTACAAGCAACTACTGGGAGCAAATAAAAGCTAAAAGTCATTAACCACAATGCATGAGCCACAGCAAAGAGTGGTTACATATGATTGATCAACCTCACTGTTGCAGTGAAGTGAGGAGCCTTATCATATAAACAATAAAAATTAACAAAAAATGAAACTGAACATCAGTCAGGCTCTCAATAACCATAACCTGATAAGGCTTCTGGTAGAAACAAGAATAAAAAATCATAACCTCTGGATATGGCCAATACGATTTTCATAATTCTTTTATGGCCAAGTCCAAAAATTTTCCCATGCCACCTGAGGATCCTAGCTGGGAATCAGGCAAAAACGTTCAGAACATAAACATCAATGCTTCAAAAGAGAAATGGTATCTGCCAATTGAATCAAAATCCTTATGGCTGACTATCTTACAGAATTTTTAAAAAGTAGCAGGCAAAAAAATAAAAAGCAAATTTTCCTCTACATCATATCCCACAAAGTACTTCTACCAGTAGTATACATTAAACTAAATAATCAGTGTGCTCTGTATGTCAGCTCTCATATTCAAGGTAGAATCAGCCTGCATTGATAAAAAGGAAGAAAGATACTAACATACTTTCAAAAGGAGTTATCTTTTAATTAGGAAACTCACATATATTACAAATTAAAAACATCGCACATTTGGGGTGGGGGAAAGGGGGGGGGAAGGTAACATGTGTCAAACAAAGAATCATGGTACATCCCCAAGTGAATGGTTATGGATGTCCATGGCCCTCAAGAATTTCAAATGATTGATAAATACTTCAGTACATCACCATGAAAGAACATGGAAAGATAACCTATAAAAGATATGAAGAGTACTCCTATCTAATACAACGATCACAACAGAAATATAAAAATGAAAAACCTAAGATGGAATGTCTTTAAGACAAATTCATTCATCCAATCACCAGTGCCTCCCTTGAGAACCACCTCCCTTGTTTTTGGCAAAGAAGGCATTCTTGGGTTTTGGTAGCTCATGAATGTCCATCACTTGTATCGTTCTTTGCTTTTTGGCTTCAAAAAGCACAGAAAAACCACAGACAATCACATTTAGTATGAAACCAAAGTGAGGGATTCAAGATTAAATAAATTGTGGAAGAAGAGAAGAAAGCAAACCATTTTCAGCTTCTTTATAATTTTCTTGAAGCCTTTTCCTTGCAGAAGCCAGCTTTTCAGAGTCAAAATTGCTTTCCTTTTGTTCTCTCTGTCTCTACAAAATCCCCAAAAAGGGAATTCAAGAAATAGACATGACAAAGCTTACACCAACTATCAACTCAGCCAAACTGAATTCTTTGGGCAACATTAAAATGGTTAAATTAAGTTGAATTTTCCCTTTCTTAGCTTTTTGCTAAGATAAACTATTTCGGCGTAGTAAATACAACTTCTCAGTCCTTGAGAATCAAAAACCTCGGCATTATAGGAATTTGTGAAAACATCAGTTTCACAGCAAAAAATATCTTTTTGAAAGCATGTGCTATCAGACCTTCATGTCCATCAAAAAAATAATGATGAAATTAGAGGCTCCAATTTGGTATATACCAATACCTGCACATTTTGTGGAGGAGTTGAGAGAGTTGGTCTAGGTGGAGGATCTTTTCGGGGAGGAGGGATTGGCTTTGGCTTCCTTTCAGGTTCTGAATTATTCTTGTCTGAACCAAAACTCCCATCTGTCAATTGTCATCGGAAAAAACATTCAAAAGAAGGCTGATTAATTAAATGCACAACAGAAAGAAACAAAGGTCAAATCCAACTTTGAATCAGATTCTGTACTCACGATGCGGATTTGGAGAATACGCAAAATCAGGAACCTATAGCAGAACAGAATCTTAGAAAGATTAAAAAAAATTCAAAAAAATAAAAAATAAATAAATAAGCAGAATTTTCAAACAACTTTCACAAGAAAAATTAATTGCTTTCACCTGTTGACGACCATTTTGAGGAAGTTTTTGCTGTGGTGAATCTCCATCTGCTGCCAGACAATATTCATTGTCATTTTAACTTTAAAGACAATTCAATTTCCATTCACGTTTGAAATATTTTCTCACAAAAACAAAAAATATTCGTGTTACAGTCCAGAAAATAATTTTACCCATAAGTGCAGCAGATTCAAGTTCTCCAGGTTGATTCACCCTTACCCATTCATCTACAATCTCCTTCCAATTCCTGGAGAAACAAAGAACCAAATCATATAACAGATTTTCTTTGAACTGGTTTTCAAACTAAAAAAAAAAAATCATAACATTTAACATATATGTAAGTTCCATAAGTTCATTAAAACCTGACAAGTTGCTTCACTAATCTCCTAACGTCATTTGATGAATGCTTCCTCAATTTGTTCACATGTCTCCCAATATCAGTCTCCTGAAAATAGAATAATAACATGGCAATGGTCATGAATCAAACTAAACAGGAAATTAAACAAAAAAAGAAAAAATTGTTCCACATAATTGTTACCTTGAGAGCTTGAAATGTTATATCCATATCTGCCAAGCTTTGAAGCAATTCAACTAAAGAATCTTCAGACTGTAAAAACAATTAAAAAAAACAAATTCAAATCAAAATCCAAAAAAAAAAAAATTAAACCAACAATACAATTGCAAAAAGATTCAAAGACCTGATCAGGTACTTCAAGACGCTCCTTAATCTCCAGAACCCTTTTTTGTTCATCATCAAACAAGCCTCCATAAGGGTCCAAATCATCATCTTCATTATCTGATTGAGGTGTGAAAGGTGATCCTTTTCCTCCTTCTCCACCTTTACCTTCATGGAGGCTGCCTTCTTTATTAACTTGATACCCATTTGATCTCTCACCAAAATCACAGCTTTTACACCTAGAAACCATGGAAGTAGCATAAAGCCTCTCCACAATCCCATCTCTCCTTTTCTTCAACTCTTGGCCATAATCCAAAGAAGCTACCAGGATTGCTGTATCTATAAAAGTCCACACATCAACACCAGCTGCTTCCAGAACTGATCTGAAATCATCCAAATCCATTACAACTCACAAAAAAGCTGATGATTATATTGCAAATTCCAAGGCCTGTTTCCAGGTGTCAAATCAAGATTTGAACTTCAACATAATCAGATCTGATTGAGAAAAAAAAAAAAACCCAAAGCTTGAATTTTGCAAAAATTGTCAGCTGACAAAAAAAAAAAAACAATTCTTTGAAGTCAAAGCTGAAATGGGTTTTGATTATTTTTGTTGTTTTGTGAAGAAAGTTGATGGTTTTGAGTTTGTTAATGGAATTGGACTTTTTGGGTGGAAATTGGAATACACCAAAAAAAAGCTTGATCTCTTTTGTCTCTTATTTTTCATATATTTTTTAAAGAAAACTGTTTGGTTTTTGGTTATGGTCTGAGCAAAGTTTTGTTGGCAGTCTCTTTTCTCCGGAGACTTTTTTCTTCGGGGTTTTGTTTTTGCAGGTGGTGATTTGAAGATGATCAGACAAAGAGAAAGAGAAATTTAAAAAAAAAAAAAAAGAAATTCTTATAGTAAAAATGGTAATACATGTTTTTTAAAGTGTATTTAAAAAAATTAATTTAAAAAATAAAACCATTTTAATTTTGTTTACCAAATTTCATTTATGAAAATTTTTAATTTTACAAAGAAAATTGAATAGTGACACATGTTTCTTAAAGAATATTTAAAAATATAAAAAAAATTAATTTAAAAAAAATGAGATATATATAATTATCATAATTCTTAAAAATATTTGTACTGTTGATGTATGAAATAATTTTCTTTTAATTTTGTAAGTAAGATTAACACGATAATACATATTTATTAAAAAAAGTTAAAAAAAATTAAAAAAAAAGTCAAACATTCGTTATTATCTTATCTTCACTTATAAAATTAAAAAACTCCATTATTTAAAAGTGTTCATTCGATTTATTTAATTAATTTCGAATTAAATTATTTAAAATTAAATTATTTTATTTTATTTTAATTAATTAAATTGAATATATGAATTTTAAAAATTAATCAATAAAATTTAATTCAATTTATTCGATTAATTTTTTTGATTAATTAAATAATAAATATATTTAAGTTAAATTGTATTTTTAATTTTTAATTTCTCATATTTTAAATAAATTATATAAAATTATTCAATAAAATATTTAAATATTAAAGTATTACATTAAAAATTTTAATAAATTATGAAATTAAATGATCTATTTCATATATTTTTAATTTATGTTTAAATTATATTTTATTTTATATATATTTAATAAAATAAAAAATATATTTTATATTTTTATATCCATATAACTTGTGATATATATTTTTATATAAAATATTATATAAATATATAAATTATTTAAAATTTTATATTATAAAAATACATAAATTGCAAATCTAATTATAAGTTCGTGTCATTTTCATTACCATTCCTTACACACGTGAATCATGCTTTTATAAGTAGAGTTGAAAAAGTTCGCTCAACATTTATTGAATCCAATGATTAAGGGCCTTTTGGTTTTTGAAAAATGTTTTTCATTCCTCACTTTTATTATTACTCTTTTTTTTTTCATTTTTATAAAGAAAGCTATGCAATAATCTTAAATTATTTTATTTTTATAGATTAAAATAGTTTATTATTCGCCTTATATTCATCTATCATATTTTTAATAGAATTAAGAAAATAATTATTCACCTTATTTTCCCAAAAAAAGAAAAAGAATAAAAGTGAAGACTATATATTATATAAATTCATTTTCATTAAAAAAAATGTTTATTATTCCTTACTTTCAATTCTTTTTGACTAATTCAAGATAGTTATGTAGTGAAAAAATATATATGTTGTAGAACTCATTCATTTTTATTGAAAACTTTTATTTAGTTCCACTCAAAAAATAAAAATTTTTTATTTAATTTATTATAACAAACTATATTATATAAGAATGAAGATAAATTAGCAAGTAAATAAATTTTTTTATTTAAGTAAATAGAGATTTGAAACTTATTTTCACGATAAAATCATACATCAATTATCGAACCAATGTTTCAATGTAAATTAATAAATATTTACTAAGTAAAAAATCAAAAGATTGAATTCTTAAAAAAAAAAGTTAAAAAATTGGATAAAGATTAAGGATTACAAAAATTTTCCAAAAAAAAAAAAAAGGAAAAAGTTAAGTGAGAATAACACTTAGGGGTGTAATCCATCGAATCCGAATTAATACAATATTAAACTCGAGTTCAAGCTCAATTCAAAATTTTATGTTTGATATTCGGTTCGAATTCGATCAAATTTTTTTTTTTATTTCAAACTCGACTCGAGATAAAAATCGAGCTATTAGAACTCGCTCGATTAGACTTGATTAACATATAAAAATAAGCTTAATTCTTATATTCGATAAAAGCTCGATTATTTGAACTCAAGTTCGAATTCGAATTTGAGATATTTTATTAATTAAAATAATAAAAATATATTTAAATATAAAAGCTCGATTAGACTGATGAATTACTCCAATTGAATATAAAAATACTCAAATTCGACTTAATCAATAAATTAAATTACTCAAACTCTAAATCGATTCGATAATAATCGAATCAAATTCGAGTTTTATTCTAATCAAACCTGAATAATTTATGAATATTAATATATCATTTACACTCTGATAGCACCATCCAAATACTAAAAGTTATAAAGCATATTTTTTTTAATGCCTTTTCTAACTACCCAATACCAATGCCACAAAGCTCCATTTGACTAACCATTTGATTAAATATTTTAAGCTTTGCATCACCTAAACCATAAGATAGGTGAAAAATTAACCTACCCCAAAAAGTCCAAAGAAGCGTATGTTTTATGTTTCCCTAAACAAGCACATTTTTCAATATTTCTTTTATGTTCTCAATAAAGCAATAAAATAGGTTTAATGTTTCTTTATTGAAAAGTATGAAAATGGCAATGACCAAATTAAAATTTTAGTTGAATTTAAAGCTTACTTCATATTATTCATGCAATTACCTTTAATAGATAATATTTAATATATTTAAAATTTAAAATTTTAATATTTATAATTTTTTTTAATTTTCAAATTACGATATATTAACATGTAAGATTAATTAATTCTAATATTAATGGATTTTAAAAGATATCATTATCATAAATTTGGATGATAAGACTAATGTTTATTAGGGTAAAACAGTTTCTATTTATATTCAAAAGTTATAGAATCAAATTGATAAAAAAAAAAAAAGTTATGGAATCAAACTTTATTTACAAAAATAATTTTCAACATATGGGACTAATTGAAGAAAAGAGAAAAAAAGCATTTTCCTTTACATAGATTTTACAATTAGATTTAATTCAATTTGTAAATCTTTAGCCAAAAGCAACTTTATAATAGTAACAGCTTGAATGTTTGTTATCTTAACAAGGCTTGTTTAAAATTTTTTATACCTTTTAGAACCCTAAGGTTTTAAATTCAAATCCCATTATATGTTGGTTTTAATTTAATTTTATATTAGATTTTTTAAATTATATTTAAAATTTTTGTTGATTATTTAATAATTTCAATAATTTCTTATATATTGATGTAATATTTTATTATAATTATAATTTTTCTTGAAGTTATAATTTCATAAAACTCTTTGCTTTTTAATGCAATTATATCTTGGAATCCACATCAACATCAGATGGTCCATGCTTGACTAGAGCACAAAATGGAAAGGTTTATAGGCATAGCTCATATCAATCTACTACTAGGAAAAGCTTCAACATAACATCTACCCACTATTTGGGATATTTTATCATATTGTGGAGTTGGACAGCATGATCAATTGGGTAATCACAATCATCATAAAATTAGGGTTAAAGTAGATAACTTCAATAAATGTTGATCTCATCAAAATTCTGACATGTCACCATCCTTCCTTTCTTATCATTATCCAATTTTCATTTTTCAATACTACTTAAAATGCATTTGGCACCTAATTGAAATAACTCTTGCCTCCGATGTCGTTTTATGATTTAATTATAAAATATAACTATACCATGGTTAAAATTTCTCTCATTAAAAATATAAATGAATCGAATATTAATAAATTTTATTATATTTTTGATTTGGTGATTCATTTAATTAATTAATTTTTAAATATTATTCATAATTATTTGTTAAATTTAATAAAAAAATATAACCATACAAAAATTACACTTATTTACAGACAAACAAAGTTATGTTCAATCACACCCCTAATGTAAACGAATTAAATATAAATATATTTTGTTATACTCGTTATATATACTGTTAATTAACATTGAAAATATCGTTTTGTGATCGTTTGTTAAATTTAATAAAATGAATATAAAATTTAAACCTAATAAATAAATATAAACGACAAAAACCAACATTTTCATGAATGTTCCCACAATTGTTACTGCTGTATCGAGATTATTTGAAATTTCTGAAAATTTTAAGTAAAAATGCAATACAGAACTATATCCCCACCATCAAGCTTCAAGCCAAATCTAATACAACAATAGTCCATGAATGATTTCTTATACAGGACACACTGAGGAATTTCATGGCGATACAAAAATTACCCTCACTTGGTTTCTCCGTTTCTCTCCCAATGCATTTCTACTTCCTAAGCCCTATTAACCTCTTTAATCACAAAAATGGCTTTCTTTTGTTTCTCTCGACTTTGTACTTTTATTAATGATTTAACAAAGTTTCCTCCAGCAATAAAAATGCTCAATGCAGTTTCATATTCTCTAACATGAATCTCATAACTCCACAAACTGCAGAAACATTTGATTTAAGTTCGGTTAGGACCAAGTTTGAAGCTAATCATAGGCATTTACCTTAAGCTATTAATGGATTTTTAAATATTCAAAAACTTGAATACATGCTTTTACAGTATAACATCTTAGCATGGAACTGATAATTGAGCACCATGAAACCCGAACCCTTTCTCTTTCTCCATAGGCTGAAAAGGCACTTACAAGTATATCTGAGTACTGTAAACTTAATTCCCTGAAGTAGACCTTCGTTGCACTACTAGATCATCAGCAGAGTAATAATCAGCAATCAGCCGGTACATGTATGATGGATTATGCCCTCCACTGTGAGACACAAAGCAATCAGTGATAGCAGGAAAAGAAAAAACTAGAGGACCATGAAAAGAAGAACCCTCTAGCAATGGCAGAAACAGAAGAGCCAAATACATGCAATCTTTTGTCTCTTTTGTGAAACAAAACTATTCATTGCCTCCCCACATCGTATCGACTGGTCACAGTACTCCATAATGTGGAAAAGTAATTGATTTGGTAACTTGAAATGAAACTAAGAAAGTAAACATCAAACATTTACCGCATGTTGAATAAGAACAGAAAGGATAGAAGCTTCAAAAAGTGCAGTTGAACTTACGTGTCGGTTATAAAGAGACTAACAAGCTTTGGTGGCACATAATCAAATGCTGGATTAACAACATGAAGAAGAGGGGCACCAATTTCATTTCCAAAATCCAAGCAATCTGAGAATTCTCCAAAATCCAGCAACTCAGATGGGGACCGCAATTCATTCAGTAAGACTTCAGGATTGTGTGGATACAGTGGGCATAACTGTCATGCAGACCACCATTAAGTTAATGAGAGACAAGCAGGAGATGAATAAAATTAAAAAATACAGGGACAACAAAAACCACTATAATATTTGCATCAACACTATTTGGGTGCCTTATTGGGCCATTTCTCTGACCATCCTCATGTCAGCTGAGTAGCTTTTTTTTTATTGTTTTTGTTGATTTCTTTAGAATGAAGCTCTCAAGAATCAATTAACAATGATCACCACAACCACACCCCAATATTTTTACCCTTCAAGCTCATACTTAAAATTAAAAGTTTACCCTCATATTACATGTCATACTACATGACCAGATTTGAAGTAGGGGTGTAATAATATCCCACGAAAGATTGTAAGCAGACATGCAAAATAACGTGATATCCTGGCTTGCTAATGAATTGATTGACAAGCAAATCCACATTGTCAGATGTGGCGCAATTAGATTTATTGCCTTGTTAATATGCAAGAAAAGAACCTCCACTTCAAATCACTTTGGCGAGACTTGGGTGGCTTAAACAGGTAATAATAGCCGTTCAAAAGAAAAGAAAGCCTTCTTATAACAAGTATAGGACTCTAACCTATGTTAATTCACTCTTCATTTTTCTAAACCGCTTAAAAGGAAACATAAGCACATGGTATGACCCACTAAACATAAGGAAAACTGACAGAAAGATGAACATCCCATGTCTTTCTTTTTTTACTTTTGAAAACAGATGTCCCATGGCTCAGGCTTAAATTTCAGAGTCAAATATGGAGTATGTTCTTTTTCACTTTTAACCTCTCTATGTTCCTCCCTGTTTACCTCCCTTTGCTAGGCATTTAATACTTCTGCATCACCCTTGGTACTCAGCCCCATCTTTTACACCATCAAAAGTGCTTGTACATATTTACCATATGTACTATCTTGCCACATCAATTCTATCTTGCCACATCAATTCAAATCCTATGCACTAACGTCTCCTCTTAGAGCCCTCTCAAATTCTATCCTATTATTCATGTGCATGACACCTCAAGCTCTCAAAATTAAATTCATCGAAATAAAAGAAAAAAATAAACAACTGTGCAAAAACACATAAATTCATACCATCATAGGGGCATAAATGAATGACACAAAATCTTAATTATTTTTTTCTAAAAAAGTGTTTTTTAGTTAGTATTAAACTAAAACTTCTAGAAAGTTTGGTGGTCAAGCAGTTATCGTGCCAAAGTACCTTGTGACTGCCAGCAAGTACGACAAATGGAACAGCATGCTTTTGAGCAGCAAGTGCAACCATGTTCAGCCCGACAGGTGCTATGACCCCACCATTAGCCATGACAGCATGAGCTCCAACAATAACCTTCAAATTCCGGAATCTCAAGATGAAGCTCAAACAGTGCAAGAAACCTTTACCAACTAGGAGAACACTAAAAAATTCACATACCATGTTTACTCGGGAAATCATGGCAAAAACTGCAGAGTCAGTAATTAGGGTGGTCTGTAAACCTCTTGTGACCAATTCTTTGGCAAGAAGATGTCCCTGATACCTAAGTTAACATCAGGTAATGGAAAAAAGAGAACTGTTACAGGGAGAATAACAAAATTGCAGCAGCTTAAAGAAAATGTCTTTGCCTTATAAAAACATATTAGCCACTTGTACAAACCTTGGAGCACCCTCCGCAACAAATACCCGGAATGATCTTTTCTTCTCTTTTGCAGCACAAAGAAATTCCAGCACAGTTCTTGAACTGCCTAAAGTTAATATCACCTCACTGACAATATGTTTTAGCAATAGTCAGTCAAAGGGCATGTTAATATGCGAAACAATCATAGGTAGAATACAACGTGAGAACTCATAGAGATTAAAATGTTTCATAGTCATAAGAGAGAGGAAGAATCCTAGACATAAATTTGTCCCAGTGCTTTATGAGCAAGACATGATAAACAGAAGATAGAATCACAATATCACATGAAATACTAGCTAACGGATTTGAAACTGTTGTCTATTACAAGATTAAACAGATTCTTCCAGGATAGAATCAGAAGATTTTTAGACAACCTGCAATCAAGAAATTGTTTACATATTCTTTATCATAACTAAAAAGCAAATATTTAATCAAACAAATGAACCATTTCATAAGCAACAATCTTAAGAAAATCTAAAGCTATTTTCTTTGAAAAAAAATAAAAATGATCTTCAGAAATAAAACTAGGGTGATATCCTAACAGCACTAACAGGTACATTTTAACTTCTGTCTCTAAACATTCACCTCAATAGAAAGCCAAGAATCATCCTGGAAACTCTGAAATTATTAACTCTAAGTCGTAGGCCAGATATAATCATAAAAATCTCAACAGATTATAAAAATGAAACAACTGATCAGATATAATCATAAAACTTCAACAGGTAATAGAAAATGAATAAAAAACCTACTAGAAACAACAAGCATAGATATGGATGATTGGTCATGATACTGGGCTGTGTTTTTTTTTTTTTTTTTTTGGGGGGGGGTGGGATAAGAAAGTAGAAGTCTCTTGTTGAAGGCAAATCCAAATAACTTTACTACCAAATATGATTCTCGTAGTTGGTCCAAAACTAAAGGGGGAATAAGCAGTGTTTAACAACAGAATAAAAACCAACGAAATTGAAATGCTTAAGGCAGAAAAGATACTTTTGATGTATATGCTCCACTGCTTGCTCGGCAATCTGTTCATGGCAAGTACTAATGTCTTGAATAAGCTCATTGACTGCTTCAATGACATCATGCTTTAACTTCCGACTTCTGGAACTTTTATCGGCAGCTGAGAAGGAAAATAAAACCTTAAATATCATATATAATTTATTATGCTACAAGATTTAACATTACATTATTATCACCACAAGAAGCCAGTTTTATAAAAACCAATATTTAACCACTTCCAGAGACATTAATCTCTTGGGATATCAATGGAAAAAAAAAATCAAAATCTAATTCCATCAAGCACAATGCAGGAAGAAGACGTGTCTTGAATAAAGTGTTTACATTTGCTTTTTCCTTCAGAATCTCCTCCAGAAGAAGAAGTATGAGGAATTGCTGTAGAGTCAGGCACATCCTCAATTAGCGTCCGCAAGGAAGGTGGACGCAAAGTGCTTCTAGAAGCAGCAGCAACAGCAGCAGCAGATAATACCGGGTGGTCATTTCGACCAGAATCATCTTCATCATCACTTACAGCTGATAAGTTCAATCCAGCCATAGCAGCTGTTGTCAAAGAAAGATCCTCCTCTCTAATAATTTGCAAAACACGCCTCACAATATTACCCACAGCAAGCTCTGCCATCATCACATCATAAACTATTAACATAGAATACCAAAGGACAAGTATCTACAATCCTTACGAGCAAGTCCCAGTTTTCTAATCAGCTTCTCTACTCCCTAAAGCCAAAGCTAGACCAAAAAGGGGTTTACAAGAACAGCTTTTATCCTATCTAGATAGTGAAAATCCAAAATATAACTTCTGAAAAAAGCTGCAATGAGAAGCCAATAGTTTTATATGAATTTTTTAAACAAAGAAAAGGTATTCTTAGCTATTACAAAGAATTTTAATTTGACGCAACACTTTCCAAGGAACTCTACTTTAACAGCTTCTTCAGCCAGACCAAACAGACTCATAAAATGCAAAATGTTGCAAATAAAACATTAGGGGGTCTAAAATTTTCCTTCAAGTTCTAGTCCAAGCATAATACAACACTGACCTATTAATAGAAACAAACACAGATAGAAGCGGTCTAAAGAAACACAGCAATTATCATGCACACTCCTAGCATCATTGAATGTTCAAGTGTATTACATCAATGTGTGCTGACAATTCCCACATTAACAACATCACATAAGTGAAACTGATATAGAATACTAAGTAATTGTTTTCAAACATAATCAGAAAACCAAATTAAACTCAAACCCAAACACAAAAACGAAACATCATACCGACAGGGTTTGCAGCAATTAACCGTTCTCCAACAGCCTTCACAGAATCAATCAAAGCTCCAGCCTGGTTCGTATACGGCACTCGCGTCTGCGAAATCACCGACCGAAGCAGTTCCGCTGTCTGCTTTGCTGTTGCCTGTGAACCCTCAATCTTACTGCCCACCACCCAAAGAAAAAAAATCATAAATCACAAAAAAAAAGAAAAAAATTCTTTCTTTTCTAAAATTTATATAAATTGGGAAAAAAATGAAATACTTCACCGTTTCTTGAGCTTGTTAAGAAAATCATTGACTAGAGCTTGGGTGTCTGGCATCTTTTTTTTTTTATATCACCAAAATTCACTTTTCAAAATGCTACAAACAACTAAAAAAAAATAGTTTCGAATCAGGAAAAGAAAACTTATGGAGAAAATGAAATGAATTGATGAGAAAAAGTTGATTGAGTTAACTACTTACGAAGAAGAGGTTTTATGCGGGAGAGCTTGATAAGAGGGTCGTTGGATCAATATGAAGAATCGGAAGTGAGAACCCGGATCCGACATGGCTCAGTTGTTTTTGTTGATTATGGACATGGAACTCTCGCAACGAGCAGGCCACCGGTGAAACGACCCAGCCCGGCAGGGCTCATGGCCCATATGATGGATGAGTTCGGCTTGGGTTTCCTCTCGAGGCCATTATGGAACCCATTGCTATTATCATTTTTTATTTTTTTATTTTTATAATTCAATTAAAATCTTCATTGATACTCTAAAAATAAATTTGATAATTTTAGATATAATAAAAATATAAAAAATAAATTTAAACAACACCTGATTTCAGAAAAAAATAATTTTTTTTTTTATATTTGATGTAATAATATAAATTATAATTTGATAATTTTCACGTTTTATACATATTTAATATAAAATATATATAATATATAAATTGTCAAATCTATAAAAATATAGGATTAAAATGAGACTTTGAAGAAACTCAATTATTAAAATTTCAATTATAAATGAACTTTGATATGCATTAATCATATTAAAATAAAGTACTAAAATATAGGTCTAAAAATTATTTTTATAACTAAAAAGTTTTTAAATTGTCTATCTTGCCTATATGGGAACAAATTTTTTTAATAATATATATATTATTATCAATTTTTTAAAATTCATTTAAGTTTGAATAATTTTTTTATATCGATTCTATGCTTTGAAATTTTTTATTTTTAAATTGTTTAATATAATTTTAAATATATTTAAATAAAATTAGATATAAAATAATTATTTTAATTTTATAAAAATTAAAATATAAATAATTCAATTCAAATATTTTTATTTTTATCTAAAATTTGATTCGAATTTAATAAAAATATTTATATCCAAATTTAAATAAAATAGAATAAAAAATTTAATCTGAACTGAACTAAGAACTATAATTTTGAATCGATTTTTTCTCACCTTAAGTGAAACCCAATGCTATTTTTTTTTTTTCTTCATTTTATATAATTCAATCATAATCTTCATTAATACTTCAAAAGTAAACCATAGTCATGATATAAATATATATATAGTTTAAAATTTTAATAAAACCATATATAAATTTATCTAAAATAAAAAGTACTTCATAGTTGACAAATTTAATATAATATTTTTCATATTTTATTTTTTAATATAAAATAAATTAACATAAATATATTAATTACCAAATTTATAAAAAAACTTCACCAAATATGAGACTTCGAAAAAAACTGAATTATTAAAATTTCAATTATAATTTTGGTTAAAACATCTTATAGGTCTATGTATTTTTTAATTTTTAGGAATCTAGTTCCTATAATATTATTTAAAAAAATTTAATAATTGTAATATTATTTTTAAGAAATTTAGTCATCATAATATTATTTTTAAGGAATTCAATTCCTGTATATTGTTAGATTGAATTGAAATTTTTAAAAACTAATTTATAAAGACTAAATTCTTTTAAATCATATTGAAAAAACTAAATTTCTAAAAATAAAAAAATAAAAAGACCTATGACCATAGTTGCTAATTTTGTTTTGTTATTGTTTGTATGGTTTGTTATATCAAAATACAATACACTTAAGAATGATTTTTCATAGTAGATTTGGTACTAAATAATATTAATTATTTTTATTATTTTCGACCTATTTTAATAAATTTCGTTGGAATAGCATGTTTCAACCGATATTTTATAATTTTTAACTTATCTTTTGTTATTTAATTATTTTTAACCTAATAAAAATAAAATTAATTGACAAAATAATTCTTAAAAGTTGAGTTTCTTTATTTTTTATTTTAAATTATTTTTTTATACTTTTATTTTTTCAAACTAGAGTTTATAGTATTTCATTTTTTTCAAGAAAACAATTTACTCATTTTATAAAGTTTAACAATTATAAAACTTTGATTAATTTTTTTCATCTATTTGTTTTTATCTTAATATTTATATAAAAAATACTTATTTAAATACCATATGATTAGATTAAGTATTTAAAAATATAATAAAAAATTTATGATATTATTTTTTTATGTTTTTAAACTTATTTATTTGATTTGAATATATTGCATATTTATTTTATGACTTATTAATAATATTATAATTTACAAGTTCATGCATGTCATCATAACGTATAGATCCACTAACCTATAACTACATTTAGACTTTAAGGAGTTGTTACTAATTTTTTAAGGTGTGATTGGTCACTTAATGAATGTATCATTTTAAAAAGATTTTAAGTTTAATTAAAGGTTCATAAAAAATGGATTTTGACGTTCTAAATAGAACTAGATTTGAAAGTTCAGTGACATGTAAGAAAGGTTATAGTACCTCCATAATACTAATCCTAAAAGACGGTACCAATTTATTTTAAATTATCCTAAAAAGCATCTTGGTTGTAATGTTTTTTATTCTAATATTTAATATTGGAAATAACTTATAATATTTCTCTATCAATCTAACAAAATTTTTAAAAAATACTTTCTCACCTTAAGAGTATTCAAAAATTTTATTTATTTTTTTAAAGAAGCTCTGTCATCGAAAAAACTTGATCATTTACTTTTTTGTTAATTTTTAGTTTTATTAAATTTTATTTTATTGAAAATAAGATCAAATTCTTTCACTATTTGAGCTCAAAATAAAAAAATATTTTTATTTAAAAATTTTTACATTTTTCATTATTTGGATCAAATTTAGAATTCCTAAATGTCATTATCTTATTGTCGAAGTTTACTCGTTATTTATTTCTCAATTTTTAGAATGAAAACAAAAGGACAATTATTATTTGAAATCTCATTCAAAAATTTTCACCATTTAGGTTAAATTTGAAAAAGATTTTTACCTAAAAATCTCTAGAAACTCAACCATTCATGATTTTCTTGAAATTTTGTCATCAAATAATTTTCATATATTTTCAATCAAAATTTTAAGGGTTTTTTTTTTTTTTTTTTAGTTTGGAAATGAGTAAAATTACTTTTATTGAAATTATTTCTAAATTATTTTACTATTCAAGTTAAATTTAGAGAAAATTTTTAATTAGAGATTTTTTAAAAAATTTATCATTTGAAATTTTTAAAAATTTCGTTATTGGATAATTATCATTTATTTTCAAAAATTTATGAAATGAAAATAAAATTGTCCAAATTATTAGTATTTTAACTATGTACTTATTTTATTAATAATTAAAACATATTTTGAATCAATAAATTTAAATATACATGTAAATGAAATTGAATAAACATATAAAATATAATAAAAATAAAGGCCCTTGTAGCAACAATATCAATATACATCGAGTCGGCCATTCCGTAAAGCTATTTCCCACAAATACAATGGCTTTGCACCACTTGGTGATGGGTCAGAGTCAACCTTCCTCCACGATTAACTAGGCTTATTCACAGCAAGGTTATCTAACTCGTGGACAACTCCAAATAATGCACGTTTCAACCGTCCTTGGAAACTTTATAATTATTTTGAGCTTAGATTAATTTGACATTGAGTTAAGTCGAATTTTAAAATCAAATTCTTTTAAATTTAATTTTTTTAAATAAAATTTTGATTTCAAATTTTAAAAATAAAAAAATTAAATTTTTTATCACTTGATTAACATACTATAGTGATTATGTCACATTTTGATTGTTAATTTTTATATACATAAATTATATTAAAATAAAATATTATCTAAAAATATAATAAGTGATTGGTTCAATCGATTAAGATCATTTTTTTTAACAAAAAATTTTGAATTTAAATTCTCTCAATGATTTGTTAGAATCATATCGAATACATAATTTATAATTACTTATTTTAAATTATCAAATATTCATATTTTAAAGAATTAAATAATTTATCTATCTTGAATATTTTACAACAAAAAAAAAGTACTGTCTAAAAATTATTTTTATAACTAAAAAATAAGTTTTAAATTATCCATCTTGCCTTCACGAAAACAAATAAAAAAAATATTAAAATTGAGGTGCGTGTTTGCACGCACAGGAATGTTAGCTTTTGGAAACATGGAAGCTGATCCAAGTCCAACCCAACACCCTAAACGCTGGGCGCTGCTGCCGTCCACTGTATTCTCGGCCAACTGTCTCCGCCACTGCAGCCTCGGTCCCTCCTCCAATTTCATTTCAAGAATAAAATCTCTTCTGTCTGTCTGCGCGCACGCTAAATCACGAGTAAAAATGTTAATCATATGCCAATACGTATAAATTATTAAGATTTAATTCAAATAAAATTTAAATTTAATTTAATATTAAATAATTTAATTTATCATCAATATTATAATATTATTTAAATAATTCACTAATTTAATTTAATTTTATATTTTAATTAAAAATTATTTTTTATTTCTATATATTTTTATTAATTTAAATTCAAATTTACACTTAATAATTTATATCATCATGTCATATAAAATATTATATTTATATTATATTTTAAATATATAAAAATCATATGTTATAATTAATATCAATATTAAAATATAAAATATAATTTTTTGATTTTATTAATTTAATTTATATATTTTTTAAAATTTTAAGTTTTATATTTTTATTCGTATTATATGATCGTATCATATTTTAAATTATTAAATTTATTTAAATTAAAATTAAAATATAAATAATTAAATTTATAATCAAATATAAAAATTATTTTATTTTATTTGATAAATATATTTAATCAAATAAATTTAAATAATTTAATTTTTATTTCGAATTTAATTTAAATTTTGATTGAGCTTAATTCAAAATTTGAATACCGAATTTTAAATCAAACTTAATCTTCTGTCTGTATTTTTTACTCGGCTTGGTCACCCTCTTACTCACGACCGCGTGTGCGTAGAAGCCACGTAGAAATTTCCCTCCCTCAACATTTTCAACCTTTTTATTTAAAGAAAAAGTCAAAAATGGAAGACCAAATGGGCCCTTCATAGCTTCAAATACCCCTTTTTTTTTTGTCTGTTATTTTTGTATTTTCTCGAGAAATTTCTCTCTCACAATCCAACTCTCGAACACCCACGCTCCTCTGTCTCTCTTTAATTTGAAATTCTTCACTTCAATTTCTGTCATTATTTATTACTCCCAAAAGCCCAAAAAAAAAAAATCATTCTCCCATTTGCTTATAAAATTTTTCTTCGTCTTCTTCGTCTTCATTTTTTTTTTTTTGATTCAAATGGGTTTTTGAGTTTGAATTTGAAGGTGGGTTTCTTCTTTTTTATTCAAATGGGTTTTTGAGTTTGAATGGAAGGTGGGTTTTCTTCTTTTTTTGGGGGGTGTTTTGGTTGCTGGGTTTTTCTTTGATTGTTTATAAAGTTTCCTTTTTTGGAATATACTAGATCTGTTTGATTCTTTTAGGAAGTGTTGGGAAATTTTAGATTTTTGTCTCTTTTTTAGGGGTTTTTAAATGTTTATTTGGTTCAGGAAATTAAAACTAGAATTTCCATTTTTAATTTTCATTTTTTCCACCCACATTGTTGTAATCTCCACAATCATTTATTTATTTATATTTTTTTAAATGAAAATTTAATCTGTTTCTGATATATATTCTTTATGTAGGGAAAGGAGGAATTCATAGCCAGGCGGTGAATTTAAGAGAGGAAAAGGCAAAGGATTGAGGGTTAAAAAAAAAATTGGGTGGTAAGAACATTTTGTCTTTATGATTAAATTTTTTATCAGATTTTTTTTAAGTTTAAACTAATTTTGCTGATGTGCATTGAGGGACGTTAGTTGTTATTATTGAATGGTGAATAGGTTGATTTGACTCAAATAATCAAATATTGATTAAATATATTCATGTTGTTGGTTCTTAAATGACTTGTTAAAACTTAAATGTCAATGTTGATCTTTGTGTTTGGTTATTCTTGCATGTCAACTTTCGAGAACAGTTTCTATGTAACATCAAATATTAGTTCCATCTAATTTGACACATGATTATATGTTTCTTAAGCTAGTAAAATATTTTTAACCCATTACTTGTAAATAGTGGAATATATTGCATTCCAACTTTCTAGAAAGGATTGTATGAAACAGTTTTTATGTATCATCAAATATTAGTTCCATCTAATATGACACATGATCAAATGATTAAATAGTGGAATATTGTTTCATGGGGTTTACTGATGATGGATGGAAAAATAAGCTGATGTGTTCATGGTACATTTACGTGTTGGGATTTAAATGATGGTAATACTTGGTGACTTGGACTAACCTTTTAATCCAACAACTTCTCTTCAAATTTGGTTCATATAAAACATTTTATTGTAAGCTGAATGTTCACTGATTTTGTGCATTTTTGTTTGTCTTTCCAGTCTAGATTGGGCATAGATACTAGCATGGCATGTGGGAATCCATTTTTTGATGACTTGCGGAGCAAGCCTGAGGTTATTGATCCTCCACAAGATGAAGAGATTATGGATAGTGAATCTGTGAATGATCCTACTCAAGCTGCTATAAAACCTAATGTGACTGTGTCGAGCAGTGTTCGTGAGCTATTGGAGTGCCCTGTTTGCTTAAATGCAATGTACCCACCAATTCATCAGGTTATTGATGGTTACTTTCATGAAATTGGTTAACATTCATGTTCTATAATTTGTCTCTGGTGGAATCTCTTACCATCCACAGAAATCTTTTGTGAATCATATTGGTTTCAAACCAACATAGCTATACTAAATTGTCCTAAAGATTTCTTAAGTAACCCATTTCTATGTACAGGATGATATCTATTTTGCACATTCTTGCCTGTTGAGCAGATAGATTTAACCTCACAGGTTAATATGGTCACAAAGGCTCAATGTGTTATGTTTTGATTATCTTGTCAAGTTGTTTTTCTTGTTGTTTTACCTCTAGTTGTTGATTATTACTTAACCTCCTTTAGGCTATTAGTAGTTTTGAATCATTTAATTAATTTATTTATAGAATTGTCATGTCTCAAAAGTAGGTTCTGTTATTTATATGCAAAGGGTGTGGAAAAATCAGTCAATATCAGTTCATACACCTAGGGAATAGAAGCATCACACTGGCGCATAATGTTTCTAATGTATACTTGGCAGCGCAATGGCATAAATTCCTGTGTCAGAATGCTCTTTATTGGCTTCTGATGCAATTTGTTCTGTTGTATACTTGTAGAGTCATTATCATAAATTAATAGTGAAAATTAACACTGTAAACTAACTGCTGCTTTTCTTTCTTTGTGCAGTGTTCAAATGGACACACATTGTGTTCTGGTTGCAAGCCAAGGGTTCACAACAGGTGCCCCACATGCAGGCATGAACTTGGTAATATTAGGTGTCTTGCATTGGAGAAGGTGGCTGCATCTCTTGAACTTCCCTGTAAATATCAGAGTTTTGGGTGCATTGGCATATATCCATATTACAGCAAGCTAAAACATGAGTCCCAATGTTCTTATAGACCATATAGCTGCCCCTATGCTGGGTCAGAATGCACGGTTATTGGTGATATCCCTCATCTTGTGGCCCATCTGAAAGATGATCACAAAGTTGACATGCACAATGGCAGCACCTTCAACCATCGTTATGTCAAATCAAATCCACATGAGGTTGAGAATGCTACATGGATGCTAACGGTATTGTTTCTCTTTTTTCTTTCTTCATATTTCTTGTCATATTTTGGTTTCTCTCCAATCCTCTGGAAGAGGATTATTCTACTGTTTCTGCAAATACAACAGCTAGAAATTTATCGTGTGCTTGTTTTTCTGGTTCATTAGAGAAGTGTGTAAAGTCCGTCACCAATGGGGTTGTTGTATTCTTCTACCAGTGAATACAATCATAGAGGGACATAAAACTTTAAAAGTGGCTTTGCTATACCAAATTGAAGATTGTTACTAAGTTGATTTCACATTACTCTTCTTTTTGTTATTTGACATGGCACAATGATATTCAATAGACTGACCCTTGTTATTTTAAATTTTATTTACAGATTTTGTGAGGGGTGTGGCACTGATTGTTGGATTTCTTTTCTCAATTTTTAGGTTTTCAGTTGCTTTGGTCAGTACTTTTGCCTGCACTTTGAAGCCTTCCAGCTTGGGATGGCTCCTGTTTATATTGCATTCTTGCGGTTTATGGGTGACGATAATGAGGCAAAGAACTATAACTACAGTCTTGAGGTGGGTGGGAATGGGAGGAAGATGATTTGGCAAGGGGTGCCCAGGAGCATAAGGGACAGTCACCGAAAGGTTCGTGACAGTTTTGATGGTCTTATAATCCAACGCAATATGGCTTTGTTCTTCTCAGGGGGAGACCGGAAAGAATTGAAGCTTAGAGTGACAGGAAGGATATGGAAAGAGCAGTGATGGGATTGTCCTTGTAGTTTTCCCTGAGTCTTTTTTTTTTTTGTGATAGCTAGTAGATTAGTGTGTTTTGGTAGTTTTAAGGGTCTTCTGGTCGTGTATTTTTTGGTTTGTAGGGGGCAAACTCTCTTTGCTTACCCATGCATCAAATACATGAATGGGAAGATGAAACTTTTATGCCTACAAATCTAGTAACTATCTATCTATAGTGATTTTAGATGGTCATATATGATTTGTAAGTAAAGTATTGGATTCTTAATTTTACTAGCTGAAGTTGAATCCATGATAATCTTAAGTAAAAAATCTGTTTTACAAATCTTCGGGCTTTTGAAGTTGGTTTTGACCAGAGGGTGAGAGCCAAGAGTACTTTGCTTTTGAATTGTACAGTAGTTAGACTAGATCAAATTTAGACAAACCTTGATTGTGTTTTGATAATTAAAAAAAAAAAAATCCCAATACTTATGATAAACCAATTCTTAGTTCTTACTTGTTATAGGTATATCTGACTAAAACTTTTAAACTGACGTAATTTTGAGCTTCTTGAACCAGTAATCATCAAGTATTTGAATTTCAAAAGCATTCTTACTTTGACCATTAAACTTAAATACAACGAAGTAGTTTCTGTTTGAAATTAAAACAAGTTCTTCAATCTCATCCACCATTGAGATCTTATTTGAGTGGTTCAATTAAAGTCAATACAACATGCATAAATTTGGCTTACCTTTATAGACGAACTTAGCATCCTCTAACTCTTAAACTTCCTCTCTAATCTTGCCCACCACAATATGAATGTCACATAGAGTGAGTCCTTCCAGTCATCCAAGAGCCGAAAATATGCATGCCTCCAAGAAGTCTTTAATAGTAAAGATCCAAAAACTCCCCAAAACGCTGTAAAGAATCCGATTCCCATTCCAGCATAAAACCATTTACTAAATTCATCTCCATCTTCGGTGTGACCATCATCGGGTGGTTGATCCTGAAGCGTGTCATTTCTTGGGCACTGCTGTGAAATTGGAAGGCCACACAGTGCTTGATTACCAACAAAGGCTGAAGCACCAAAGGTCAGGAGTTGAGTACCAGGTGGAATTTTTCCTGATAAGTTATTATATGACAAGTTCAAGTAACTCAAAAAACTTAGATCAGCCATGCTGGTTGGGATTTGCCCTGACAATTGATTTGTTGACAAATCAAGTGATTCTAGTTGTTTCAACTGACCAATTTTTTCAGGGATAGACCCAACCAAATTGTTCCTGATAAGTTCAAAACAACCAATTCAGCAAGTCTTGTTATCTCATCAGGAATTTCTCCAACTAATTTGTTGCCTGCAAGATCAATGATCCTAAACAGCCCAAGACTTCTTTCGTACTCATACTCTTTTCCTTTCCATCTAACCATTGCCTTTTCAATATAGTGGCCTCCAAAGAAATATAAGCTTGCATGGAAGACACATAAATGTCCTCCGTGATATCATTTGAGTCTCCTTTTTGAACCATGGCTGTCAAATTATCAAGACACGATGGTATTGCTCCAGAGAGAAAGTTTTGAGAGAGGTCCAGAATCCGTATATTTGCTAATTGGCATAAATTGGAAGGTATCCTCCCATTGAATTCATTACCTTGTAGACTCAAAAATATCAAAGATGACAGGTTTTTCTACCAGGCTGGTACACTTCCAGAAACATATTCTCGCTAAGGTCCACAAATTTCAATCTACTGCAATTCTTCAAAGAAGAAGGTAAGCCTCCAGAGAAGCTATTACCGTGCAATTTAATTGTTTCAAGTGACAACAGAGATCCCACAGCAGTTGGAATAACCCCAGAGAAGTTATTATTAGCTAAATTCAAAACTACGATGTCTTGCCAGTGGAAAAAGCAATCAGGAAGCACTCCGTCCAATGAGTTATCAGAAAGATCAAGAGATCTCAATACCCCAGCTGTATTCTTACACAATGGAGAAACTGATCCCGAAAATCTATTTTTAGCAAGAATTAATTTGGTCACATTATAAGGAAAGACTGGCAATGGACCCTCAACAGGTTTGAACTTAAATCTATTCCAATAAATGTAAGAAGCTTGACTGGTGATAAGTCTGATAGCATACCAGTCATCTGGTTATGGGAAAGATTTAAGAAAATCAAGTAAGTGGGCAGGTCCCAAAACAGGGATAGTACCTGAAATTCCAGCACGGAGATATCAAGATCCTGAAAACTTCTTTGAGTATGAAGCCATTTTGGGAAGTGAGGCCCAAATTGCAAAATGATAGATGAATTTGATTCAACTGAAAAGGAGGAATCCAACCGGAGCTGACATTGAAAGTTAAAAGATTAAAGGATAGGTCAAGTGTATGTAATTTGGAGAGATTTTCAAAATGCTCTTCGGATATCGCACCTTCCAAAGAATTCCAAGAAGCATCCAGATGCTCGAGTTCAGGCAGGCATCCTAGACTTTCAGTCACTGTTCCATTGAATCGATTATGGCCAATATCTAAATATTTCAATGATGAAAACTGGGTGAGATCAGGTAAAGGACCTGTAAGCTGGTTGTCCGAGAGAGATAGAGAAGTAAGCTTGGAAGGTTGTTTGAAACTTGTTGGAAAAGAGCCATTTAATCTATTACCAGAGAGATCGAGTTCTCTTAGTGAAGAAAATCCTGTTACATAAGACAAACTGAATGAATTTTGAAAGCGATTCCAAGGCAGGCTCAGAATCTCCAATGAATTCTGTATGCACCCAGACAAGCCAGCTGGAACAAATCTACTGAAGTAGTTTTCAGAAAGGTCCAATGTTTTTAAAGTACAAATGTTCCCAAGGAATTCTGGAATCTCACCTCCAAGTTCATTATCGGACAGATCAAGATGTTCAAGTGAAACCAAGTTTCCTGAAAAAGTCTGGAATTGAGCCTTCTAACAAGGTACTTTGAAGGGTAAGATCAACAATCTTGCTGGTAATATTGAACAACAAAGGGTACATGGAAGAAGTAAGATAGTTTAAAGAGAGATCAATGGAAATTCGGGATGAAGTAGAGTTAGTCAGGGAAGGTGGAGACGAGATTATTGGAAGGCTACAGCCGGCCAACCGTAAGTGTTCTAGGTATGGAAGCTTGATGAGCAGTTTGAGGCCAATCCTTGGCACCATTAAGGTTGTTCGAACTGAGGTCAAGATATCTTAAAGAAGAAAGATTCAGAATCTGATTCAGGGTTGTGAAACTTAACCCAGTATCATGAAGATCGAGGTGTTTAACTTGCTTAGTGAGCCATTGATATTCGGAAACTGAGTTCCTCCAAAATCATTGTAAGTAAGGTCTAAATATCTTAAATACCTCAGTTCAAGCAGTGAAGGATTAATCTTACCTCTCAGACTACTATTTACAAAGCCATCAAATTCATCATCAAAGGTCAGAGGATGATGAAGATCAAGCATGACTACATGGCCTGTTCGTGGCTACAACGAACACCTCGCCACAGACAACAATCTTTTTTACCATTTTCGCTTCCCAAGACGAGAGTCGACCAGAATTATCACAAGGCTTTGCTTGAACGTCAGGAGAGCTTGTCTCTCCTTATCTCTGCATCGGATGTTTTTCCCCTTCGGCACTTGGATTGAAGCCATTTGCAACTGTTTATGGTCTGGCAAAGCCAACAAACACAATTGGTAGAATCTGAAAGAATCTGGATTTTCCAGACATTGTTGTCATACTAATGAAATTGAGACAATTTTGGCGTCGATTGTAGTTCGTCCTTAGAAAACCAAATCAAAGAGTCTGGACTATGGAAATTAAAACATTTCCTTGTTCTTTCCAAATTAAATAGAGCCTAAGAAAACGATTGGTGGAATCTGAAAGAACCTGGATTTTCAGACATTGTTGTCATACTCATGAAATTGAAACAATTTTGGCGTTGATTATGGTTCGTCCTTAGAAAACCAAATCAAAGCGTCTGGACTATGGAAATTAAACATTCCTTGTTCTTTCCAAATTAAATAGAGCCCAAGAAACACGATTGGTGGAATCTGAAAGAACCTGGATTTTCCAGACATCGTTGTCGTACTCACGAAACTGAGACAATTTCGGCCTTGATTTATGGTTCGTCCTTAGAAAGCCAAATCAAAGAGTCTGGAACCATGGACATTAAAACACTTCCTTGTCCAATTAAATAGAGCCAAGAAACAAGATTGGTAGAATCTGAAAGAAGATGATTTTTCCAGACATTATTGTCATACTCATGAATTGAGACAATTTTGGCGTTGTCCTTAGAAAACAAATCAAAGAGTCTGGACTATGAAATTAAAATATTTCCTTGTTCTTTCTACTAAAATAGAGCTACCACAGGATTTAGAAACATTTTTTATTTGAGGAAAGCCAGGGGCAGTCGCCCCAGCAATTGCAAAGCGATAGTCAAAATGGCTGCCCGCTATACAAATATTTTAGTCTATTCAAAGACAAATTTATAAATACTTATCTATTGGCCGAATGATCTTTCAAGATTTTATTATTAAACAATAAATATAAATTATTTATGTAATATTTAATTTCATTTTTGAAGATCATTATCAAAATGATCTAATTAGCATGTGATTATAACATTTGTGATTTGAAAAACTCTATTTGATTAAACAATTATTAATTCTTAAAAATTAAAGATCACTAAGTTGGTATTGCTAGAAATCATAATATTATTTTGTTTAAAAGTATAAAAATGATCATGCATATTATAATAGTTATATAAGTTAATAATTTTAATGTTGTTTAAAATAATATTTGTGAAATTTGATAATATTTTATTTATTTTAAAATAAAATATAATTAATTATTATAATTTAATAATTTAATTATATTTTATTTTAAATAAATAAAATATTATCAATATTTCACAAATTATTATTTTAAACAACATTAAAATTATTAACTTATATAACTATTATAATATGCATGATCATTTTTTAATCTTTTAACAAAATAATATATGATTTCTAGCAATACCAAACTTAGTGATCTTTAATTTTTAAGAATTAATAATTGTTAATCAAATAGAGTTTTTCAAATCACAAATGTTATAATCACATTGCTAATTAGATCATTTTGATAATGATCTTCAAAATGAAATTAAATATTACATAAATAATTATATTTATTGTTTAATAATAAAATCTTGAAAGATCATTCGGCCAATAGATAAGTATTTATAATTTGTCTTTGAATAGACTAAAATATTTGTATAGGGGCAGCCATTTTGACTATCGCTTTGCAATTGCTGGGGCGACTGCCCCTGGCTTTCCTCAAATAAATAAATGTTTCTAAATCCTGTGGTAGCTCTATTTTAGTAGGAAAGAACAAGGAAATATTTTAATTTTCATAGTCCAGACTCTTTGATTTGGTTTTCTAAGGACAACGCCAAAATTGTCTCAATTTCATGAGTATGACAATAATGTCTGGAAAATCCATCTTCTTTCAGATTCTACCAATCGTGTTTCTTGGGCTCTATTTAATTTGGACAAGGAAGTGTTTTAATGTCCATGGTCCAGACTCTTTGATTTGGCTTTCTAAGGACGAACCATAATCAAGGCCGAAATTGTCTCAGTTTCGTGAGTACGAACAACAATGTCTGGAAAATCCAGGTTCTTTCAGATTCCACCAATCGTGTTTCTTGGGCTCTATTTAATTTGGAAAGAACAAGGAATGTTTTAATTTCCATAGTCCAGACGCTTTGATTTGGTTTTCTAAGGACGAACCATAATCAACGCCAAAAATTGTTTCAATTTCATGAGTATGACAACAATGTCTGGAAAATCCAGGTTCTTTCAGATTCCACCAATCGTGTTTCTTAGGCTCTATTTAATTTGGAAAGAACAAGGAAATGTTTTAATTTCCATAGTCCAGACTCTTTGATTTGGTTTTCTAAGGACGAACTACAATCGACGCCAAAATTGTCTCAATTTCATTAGTATGACAACAATGTCTGGAAAATCCAGATTCTTTCAGATTCTACCAATTGTGTTTGTTGGCTTTGCCAGACCATAACAGTTGCAAATGGCTTCAATCCAAGTGCCGAAGGGGAAAACATCGATGCAGAGATAAGGAGAGACAAGCTCTCCTGACGTTCAAGCAAAGCCTTGTTGATAATTCTGGTCGACTCTCGTCTTGGGGAAGCGAAAATGGTAAAAAAGATTGTTGTCTGTGGCGAGGTGTTCGTTGTAGCCACAGAACAGGCCATGTAGTCATGCTTGATCTTCATCATCCTCTGACCTTTGATGATGAATTTGATGGCTTTGTAAATAGTAGTCTGAGAGGTAAGATTAATCCTTCACTGCTTGAACTGAGGTATTTAAGATATTTAGACCTTACTTACAATGATTTTGGAGGAACTCAGTTTCCGAATATCAATGGCTCACTAAGCAAGTTAAGACACCTCGATCTTCATGATACTGGGTTAAGTTTCACAACCCTGAATCAGATTCTGAATCTTTCTTCTTTAAGATATCTTGACCTCAGTTCGAACAACCTTAATGGTGCCAAGGATTGGCCTCAACTGCTCATCAAGCTTCCATACCTAGAACACTTACGGTTGGCCGGCTGTAGCCTTCCAATAATCTCGTCTCCACCTTCCTGACTAACTCTACTTCATCCGAATTTCCATTGATCTCTCTTTAAACTATCTTACTTCTTCCATGTACCCTTTGTTGTTCAATATTACCAGCAAGATTGTTGATCTTACCCTTCAAAGTACCTTGTTAGAAGGCTCAATTCCAGACTTTTTCAGGAACTTGGTTTCACTTGAACATCTTGATCTGTCCGATAATGAACTTGGAGGTGAGATTCCAGAATTCCTTGGGAACATTTGTACTTTAAAAACATTGGACCTTTCTGAAAACTACTTCAGTAGATTTGTTCCAGCTGGCTTGTCTGGGTGCATACAGAATTCATTGGAGATTCTGAGCCTGCCTTGGAATCGCTTTCAAAATTCATTCAGTTTGTCTTATGTAACAGGATTTTCTTCACTAAGAGAACTCGATCTCTCTGGTAATAGATTAAATGGCTCTTTTCCAACAAGTTTCAACAACCTTCCAAGCTTACTTCTCTATCTCTCTCGGACAACCAGCTTACAGGTCCTTTACCTGATCTCACCCAGTTTTCATCATTGAAATATTTAGATATTGGCCATAATCGATTCAATGGAACAGTGACTGAAAGTCTAGGATGCCTGCCTGAACTCGAGCATCTGGATGCTTCTTGGAATTCTTTGGAAGGTGCGATATCCGAAGAGCATTTTGAAAATCTCTCCAAATTACATACACTTGACCTATCCTTTAATCTTTTAACTTTCAATGTCAGCTCCGGTTGGATTCCTCCTTTTCAGTTGAATCAAATTCATCTATCATTTTGCAATTTGGGGCCTCACTTCCCAAAATGGCTTCATACTCAAAGAAGTTTTCAGGATCTTGATATCTCCGGTGCTGGAATTTCAGGTACTATCCCTGATTGGTTTTGGGACCTGCCCACTTACTTGATTTTTTAAATCTTTCCCATAACCAGATGACTGGTATGCTATCAGACTTATCACCAGTCAAGCTTCTTACATTTATTGGAATAGATTTAAGTTCAAACCTGTTTGAGGGTCCATTGCCAGTCTTTCCTTATAATGTGACCAAATTAATTCTTGCTAAAAATAGATTTTCGGGATCAGTTTCTCCATTGTGTAAGAATACAGCTGGGGTAATTGAGATCTCTTGATCTTTCTGATAACTCATTGGACGGAGTGGCTTCCTGATTGCTTTTTCCACTGGCAAGACATCGTAGTTTTGAATTTAGCTAATAATAACTTCTCTGGGGTTATTCCAACTGCTGTGGGATCTCTGTTGTCACTTGAAACAATTAAATTGCACGGTAATTAGCTTCTCTCGGAGGCTTTACCTTCTTCTTTGAAGAATTGCAGTAGATTGAAATTTGTGGACCTTAGCGAGAATATGTTTCTGGAAGTGTACCAGCCTGGGTAGGAGAAAACCTGTCATCTTTGATATTTTTGAGTCTACAAGGTAATGAATTCAATGGGAGGATACCTTCCAATTTTATGCCAATTAGCAAATATAACGGATTCTGGACCTCTCTCAAAACTTTTCTCTCTGGAGCAATACCATCGTGTCTTGATAATTTGACAGCCATGGTTCAAAAAGGAGACTCAAATGATATCACGGAGGACATTTATGTGTCTTCCATGCAAGCTTATATTTTCTTTGGAGGCCACTATATTGAAAAGGCAATGGTTAGATGGAAAGGAAAAGAGTATGAGTACGAAAGAAGTCTTGGGCTGTTAGGATCATTGATCTTGCAGGCAACAATTAGTTGGAGAAATTCCGTGATGAGATAACAAGACTTGCTGAATTGGTTGTTTTGAACTTATCAGGGAACAATTTGGTTGGGTCCTATCCCCTGAAAAAATTGGTCAGTTGAACAACTAGAATCACTTGATTTGTCAACAAATCAATTGTCAGGGCAAATCCCAACCAGGCATGGCTGATCTAAGTTTTTTTGAGTTACTTGAACTTGTCATATATAAACCTATCAGGAAAAATTCCACCTGGGTACTCAACTCCTGACCTTTGGTGCTTAAGCCTTTGTTGGTAAATCAAGCACTGTGTGGGCCTTCCAATTTCACAGCAGTGCCCAAGAAATGACAACGCTTCAGGATCAACCACCGATGATGGTCACACCGAAGATGGAGATGAATTTTAGTAAATGGTTTTTATGCTGGAATGGGAAATCGGATTCTTTTACAGGCGTTTTGGGAGTTTTTGGATCTTTACTATTAAAGACTTCTTGGAGGCATGCATATTTTCGGTTCTTGGATGACTGGAAGGACTCACTCTATGTGACATTCATATTGTGGTGGCAAGATTAGAGAGGAAGTTTAAGAGTTAGAGGATGCTAAGTTCGTCTATAAAGGTAAGCAAATTTATGCATGTTGTATTGACTTTAATTGAACCACTCAAATAAGATCTCAATGGTGGATGAGATTGAAGAACTTGTTTTAATTTCAAACAGAAACTACTTCGTTGTATTTAAGTTTAATGGTCAAAGTAAGAATGCTTTTGAAATTCAAATACTTGATGATTACTGGTTCAAGAAGCTCAAAATTACGTCAGTTTAAAAGTTTTAGTCAGATATACCTATAACAAGTAAGAACTAAGAATTGGTTTATCATAAGTATTGGGGATTTTTTTTTTTTAATTATCAAAACACAATCAAGGTTTGTCTAAATTTGATCTAGTCTAACTACTGTACAATTCAAAAGCAAAGTACTCTTGGCTCTCACCCTCTGGTCAAAACCACTTCAAAAAGCCCGAAGATTTGTAAAACAGATTTTTTACTTAGATTATCATGGATTCAACTTCAGCTAAGTAAAATTAAAGAATCCAATACTTTACTTACAAATCATATATGACCATCTAAAATCACTATAGATAGATAGTACTAGATTTGTAGGCATAAAAGTTTCATCTTCCCATTCATGTATTTGATGCATGGGTAAGCAAAGAGAGTTTGCCCCTACAAACCAAAAATACACGACCAGAAGACCCTTAAAACTACCAAACACACTAATCTACTAGCTATCACAAAAAAAAAAAGACTCAGGGAAAACTACAAGGACAATCCCATCACTGCTCTTTCCATATCCTTCCTGTCACTCTAAGCTTCAATTCTTTCCGGTCTCCCCCTGAGAAGAACAAAGCCATATTGCGTTGGATTATAAGACCATCAAAACTGTCACGAACCTTTCGGTGACTGTCCCTTATGCTCCTGGCACCCCTTGCCAAATCATCTTCCTCCCATTCCCACCCACCTCAAGACTGTAGTTATAGTTCTTTGCCTCATTATCGTCACCCATAAACCGCAAGAATGCAATATAAACAGGAGCCATCCCAAGCTGGAAGGCTTCAAAGTGCAGGCAAAAGTACTGACCAAAGCAACTGAAAACCTAAAAATTGAGAAAAGAAATCCAACAATCAGTGCCACACCCCTCACAAAATCTGTAAATAAAATTTAAAATAACAAGGGTCAGTCTATTGAATATCATTGTGCCATGTCAAATAACAAAAAGAAGAGTAATGTGAAATCAACTTAGTAACAATCTTCAATTTGGTATAGCAAAGCCACTTTTAAAGTTTTATGTCCCTCTATGATTGTATTCACCGGTAGAAGAATACAACAACCCCATTGGTGATGGACTTTACACACTTCTCTAATGAACCAGAAAAACAAGCACACGATAAATTTCTAGCTGTTGTATTTGCAGAAACAGTAGAATAATCCTCTTCCAGAGGATTGGAGAGAAACCAAAATATGACAAGAAATATGAAGAAAGAAAAAAGAAACAATACCGTTAGCATCCATGTAGCATTCTCAACCTCATGTGGATTTGATTTGACATAACGATGGTTGAAGGTGCTGCCATTGTGCATGTCAACTTTGTGATCATCTTTCAGATGGGCCACAAGATGAGGGATATCACCAATAACCATGCATTCTGACCCAGCATAGGGGCAGCTATATGGTCTATAAGAACATTGGGACTCATGTTTTAGCTTGCTGTAATATGGATATATGCCAATGCACCCAAAACTCTGATATTTACAGGGAAGTTCAAGAGATGCAGCCACCTTCTCCAATGCAAGACACCTAATATTACCAAGTTCATGCCTGCATGTGGGGCACCTGTTGTGAACCCTTGGCTTGCAACCAGAACACAATGTGTGTCCATTTGAACACTGCACAAAGAAAGAAAAGCAGCAGTTAGTTTACAGTGTTAATTTTCACTATTAATTTATGATAATGACTCTACAAGTATACAACAGAACAAATTGCATCAGAAGCCAATAAAGAGCATTCTGACACAGGAATTTATGCCATTGCGCTGCCAAGTATACATTAGAACATTATGCGCCAGTGTGATGCTTCTATTCCCTAGGTGTATGAACTGATATTGACTGATTTTTCCACACCCTTTGCATATGAAATAACAGAACCTACTTTTGAGACATTGACAATTCTATAAATAAATTAATTAAATGATTCAAAACTACTAATAGCCTAAAGGAGGTTAAGTAATAATCAACAACTAGAGGTAAAACAACAAGAAAAACAACTTGACAAGATAATCAAAACATAACACATTGAGCCTTTGTGACCATATTAACCTGTGAGGTTAAATCTATCTGCTCAACAGGCAAGAATGTGCAAAATAGATATCATCCTGTACATAGAAATGGGTTACTTAAGAAATCTTTAGGACAATTTAGTATAGCTATGTTGGTTTGAAACCAATATGATTCACAAAAGATTTCTGTGGATGGTAAGAGATTCCACCAGAGACAAATTATAGAACATGAATGTTAACCAATTTCATGAAAGTAACCATCAATAACCTGATGAATTGGTGGGTACATTGCATTTAAGCAAACAGGGCACTCCAATAGCTCACGAACACTGCTCGACACAGTCACATTAGGTTTTATAGCAGCTTGAGTAGGATCATTCACAGATTCACTATCCATAATCTCTTCATCTTGTGGAGGATCAATAACCTCAGGCTTGCTCCGCAAGTCATCAAAAAATGGATTCCCACATGCCATGCTAGTATCTATGCCCAGTCTAGACTGAAAGACAAACAAAAATGCACAAAATCAGTGAACATTCAGCTTACAATAAAATGTTTTATATGAACCAAATTTGAAGAGAAGTTGTTGGATTAAAAGGTTAGTCCAAGTCACCAAGTATTACCATCATTTAAATCCCAACACGTAAATGTACCATGAACACATCAGCTTATTTTTCCATCCATCATCAGTAAACCCCATGAAACAATATTCCACTATTTAATCATTTGATCATGTGTCATATTAGATGGAACTAATATTTGATGATACATAAAAACTGTTTCATACAATCCTTTCTAGAAAGTTGGAATGCAATATATTCCACTATTTACAAGTAATGGGTTAAAAATATTTTACTAGCTTAAGAAACATATAATCATGTGTCAAATTAGATGGAACTAATATTTGATGTTACATAGAAACTGTTCTCGAAAGTTGACATGCAAGAATAACCAAACACAAAGATCAACATTGACATTTAAGTTTTAACAAGTCATTTAAGAACCAACAACATGAATATATTTAATCAATATTTGATTATTTGAGTCAAATCAACCTATTCACCATTCAATAATAACAACTAACGTCCCTCAATGCACATCAGCAAAATTAGTTTAAACTTAAAAAAAATCTGATAAAAAATTTAATCATAAAGACAAAATGTTCTTACCACCCAATTTTTTTTTTAACCCTCAATCCTTTGCCTTTTCCTCTCTTAAATTCACCGCCTGGCTATGAATTCCTCCTTTCCCTACATAAAGAATATATATCAGAAACAGATTAAATTTTCATTTAAAAAAATATAAATAAATAAATGATTGTGGAGATTACAACAATGTGGGTGGAAAAAATGAAATTAAAAATGGAAATTCTAGTTTTAATTTCCTGAACCAAATAAACATTTAAAAACCCCTAAAAAAGAGACAAAAATCTAAAATTTCCCAACACTTCCTAAAAGAATCAAACAGATCTAGTATATTCCAAAAAAGGAAACTTTATAAACAATCAAAGAAAAACCCAGCAACCAAAACACCCCCAAAAAAAGAAGAAAACCCACCTTCCATTCAAACTCAAAAACTCATTTGAATAAAAAGAAGAAACCCACCTTCAAATTCAAACTCAAAAACCCATTTGAATCAAAAAAAAAAAATGAAGACCAAGAAGACGAAGAAAAATTTTATAAGCAAATGGGAGAATGATTTTTTTTTTTTTGGGCTTTTGGGAGTAATAAATAATGACAGAAATTGAAGTGAAGAATTTCAAATTAAAGAGAGACAGAGGAGCGTGGGTGTTCGAGAGTTGGATTGTGAGAGAGAAATTTCTCGAGAAAATACAAAAAGAACAAAAAAAAAAAAAAAAGGGGTATTTGAAGCTATGAAGGGCCCATTTGATCTTCCATTTTTGACTTTTTCTTTAAATAAAAAGGTTGAAAATGTTGAGGGAGGGAAATTTCTACGTGGCTTCTACGCACACGCAATCGTGAGTAAGAGGGTGACCAAGCCGAGTGAAAATACAGACAGAAAATTAAGTTTGATTTAAAATTTGGTATTCAAATTTTGAATTAAGCTCAATCAAAATTTAAATTAAATTCGAAATAAAAATTAAATTATTTAAATTTATTTGATTAAATATATTTATCAAATAAAATAAAATAATTTTTATATTTGATTATAAATTTAATTATTTATATTTTAATTTTAATTTAAATAAATTT